AAAGGCTTCAGATGTAGATTTTTGATGGTTTGACAATATCTCCAAATACAGTCATGAAAGGCACTGGCAGGACGAAACGAATATATTCATTGTACAGCTTTAAATACCACAGTTTTTATAACTCAGTTTTGGCATTTCTTCTTTTTCCTGGGAGCCTAAAAAAATAAGTGGCCGTGGTGTGGGTCTCCCTCTGCCTGTAAGAGGCCCCGAGGAGGCATATTTTCTGCCTTTTTTTTTCAGGGTGAAGGGAATGAAGCATGAGGATCCTACAAGTTCCTGATAGTGCAGTGTTCACTGATTGTTTTCCAGGGCCAGTGTATGGCAGTCGGGGACACCCCTGCCTTTTCAGAGCAGTGACAGTAGTCACTGACATTTTGAGGGCACCGAGCAAGTCTTGTATGTACGTGGATTGTGCTTTGCAGCTCTTTTGATAAAAAAGTATAATCCAAGAAGCCAACTTAAGCGTGACGGAAGGAACCAATGAATCCGTGATTGCTTTCAACAGTAAATGATAATCCATTACCATTAAGAAGTTGATGTATTACTGCATTTAAAACTGCCGTTTCAGGAGGGTGGGTGATGTGGGATGAGAAAAACTCTCCTGCCTTTAGAGATGAATTGGACAGAATGGTTTACGGCTTTCATTGTGCAAATGGGCAGGATAATCAGTGTCGTCATATAGTTGCTTCATGTGAGTAGGGTACAGAGAGTAGATACGGATTTGTGGCGGAAGCCATGCGTGGAATTCCTCTTGTGTTGAAAAGGTCTTGTAAAAGCCTAAAATGGAGGCATCAGATTGTTGTGTGTGCGACTGTGTATGTGGCTGATACGCCGTATTCTGACTTACAAAGTGATGCCTTCCACAGTGGGATATGAAATTCATACTTGATTTTGTTCTGACGGGAAGACATGTGAGGTGAAGTGGGGATTGCTCCTCTCTCTGCTTTATCCTGATCTGATGGGTAGGGAAGAAAAAAACCTAAGTATCCCTCAAAGCCAGTTACACATGCTGGATGATATCCCTCCCCCTCTTTTTTTTTAAGATTTTATTTTTAAGTAATCTCTACCCCCAGTGTGGGGCTCAAACTCACAACCCAAGATCAACAGTTGGCATGCTCTACTGACCAAGCCAGCCAGACGCCCCATGTGTGCCCTTACTTTAATAGCATGATTCTTGCAGAATCTCAGTTCTGGGTGTTTTGATGAGCTAGGCTAAGAAAAGGCAGAGTACCTACCCAAAGGTAGAACAACTTTTCTGGGGAAAATTTTTAGCCATATTTATAGAGACCATTAAAAGAGAAAAAACAGTGTTGTGAGGTGCAAAGAACCTTGTGATGTGCTTGAAGTTATTGAGTGACTTGTTTGGAGATATATTCAAATTAGCAAAAACGAGAGCCTCCCCCGCTTTCATGTAAGTGCTCACTGCTAGGTCTTATCAGTGGCTTTGGAAACAGTAGATGTGTATTTCTTGAGCTAGGTCAAGAGTTACTTGTGCCCTGTGCTGTGAAAAGAGTTTAGCCGGTTGCTGGATTCACAGAGAATCTATTAGCAGAAAAGTCTGCTTTCTCTCATTCAGATATAAGGAATTGTGACGTTTCTCAGACTTTTCATGTGGCCTTAGGAAACAACACCATTTTATAGAATTCAAGAACAGCTGTTTTTTTTTCTTAGTTGTACCAACCATTTTTTTTTCATATTCATCATGAGTAGATAGTTAAAATGTCCATTTCAAATCCTGAGAATGTTGTATAAGTCTGTAAAAATAGGAGAACAACATGATATTTGGCTTACACATTTGTTAAGAATAGTTCATTTGTCTCCATGATAGAACTCTTTCAATGGAACAAGCTGAAGTTTTTGCTCTGTTGAGGTTTTCAGTCCATATTTTTGTTGGGGGGCTAAATCCATTGTAAGTATAGAATAATAACACCAGTTGGCTACTTTTAGCTTCTACCTACAGCATCTGAAAGTCACACAGACTTTCTCTTACATGGTGTGCTGCCTTCATTCTGACTTTGCTGTATTTATATAGTAACATCAAAGGGTGAGCACTAAGTTCATGGGTGAAATTTATCTGGGAGGGATGGCCAGTCAATTGGAGGATGGCACAGAGATTCAAAATGGGTCCCCACTAATCGAAGCAGTATTCAGAAACTCAGAATTAGATTAAGTGGTTAAAAGTTGGGTCCCAGCAGAAAACCTGTGGCACACGCCAGCCGGGTGGCTGAAGGGAGTTCTAGAAGGGGATGAGGTGCTTAGGGGCCAGCGCTAGCCTGGCAAGGGGAGAGAGCGGTCACAGGAACCCAGACAGAGTAGCTGCATGGGGCGGCGGGCACCCAGCAGGAGGGGACACAGCGTATCTCTGGTGCCCTTGCAGGGAGCAGGCTGTGGGGGAAATTCCCCTTCCTCATTTTCCTGCTCTCTGGTCTCCTCCTCATGTCTTCTACGTGCTAAACCCAAGGCAAAGATGAGGGCAAGGGAGCTGTTGATGTGAAAGCCTTATGGATCAGCCTCCTGGGGCACTGAGCAAGACAAGAGTATGGAGAGAGAGGATCCCTGGGTGTGTCTGGGGCAATAGGAACATGTCTTACTTTGGAGTTGATTTTTGGATTTTTTTTTTCTTTCCCCTTTCTTTGCCCACTTTCATTCATTGGTTCCGCATTCTGTCTCTGTTTGGACTCTTCCATTAGCATGATGCCCAGGTGACTAGATCCAAAGAGGTACCGAGCGTTGACTGCTCTTGCCTGGCGAGACTGAAGTGAAACACAAGCCAGTGTAGTTTATTTGTCTGCGACTTTCTTATTTTTACGTTTTAGATTTTATGCTCACCCAAATGAGTAGATAAAAGCTGCTCTGATTGCCAGGAGGAAGACGCCCTATGGCCTGATTCTCTTTCCTTTTCTTCTCGTGCCATTAACCTCACATATTAAGTAAGATTTCTTCTTGTTTTTGTTGTGGAAAAAACTAGCAGGGATTCTGATTTGATGATTATGTCTATGGTTGGGCCCTCGGAGCAAGCCATTGCCCCTGGGAGAGGGATAATAAAGAAGCAATCTGGATTTTTTTTCCTGCATACTTTGAAATGCTTGGGAGAGTAAAGATACCTGTTGTTTTCTATACATTGTGGATCAATAATGAGGATCAGTTTCATTGCTTTATTTCTATCAGAGGTGCTACTTTTTAGATACTTTGGGTCCCCCCTCATATTCATGGTTGAGATTATAAAATAGTTGTTTTACTTATCTATTTTTTATTTAAAAGATTTTATTTATTCGTTTGAGAGAGAGAGAGACAGAGCACAAGCAAGGGGAGAGGCAGAGGGAGAGGGAGAAGCGGGCTCCCCGCTGAGCCGGGAGCCCAACACGGGACTGGATCCCAGGACCTGGGATCATGACCCGGGTCGAAAGCAGATGCTTAACCATCTGAGCCACCCAGGTGCCCCTAAAATAGTCGTTTTAAACTCTTGGGATGAAGCTCGTTAAAATGGGTTGATGGCATTCACATTGCGGTGTTAACTTTATAGTTCAAGGACTCCAGATCACTTATTAAAAGTCATATGAAAATGATAAAGGAGTTGCTGACCCAGGACCACAGAGTTAGAAATCATCTTCCTCTGTAACTGGGCAAGGCTTCTGTGTTTACCCGGACATCTGTAGACATTTAAGATTGCTTCTGTGAAAACCGTAATACTCATTTGAATCTTTCGTGATTGTTTATAAAGATGAAAATGAAATCTAACCCCTAGAAAAACAAAATGAAATTAGGACACATGCTGTATTCCTAGTTTTCAGTTTTCCTTTTGTGTTTTTAAGCACCTTGTAGGTCACAAATGGCAATAAAGACATGCTAGCCATCCTGTGTTTTAATATTTTATTCTTCCATGTTTAATATCTAAATAGGTACTTTCAGTGTTTTTCTACACTGTTAGAGTTATTGATAACCATTTTCTACACTGTTAGGATTGTTGATAACAGAGATAGTTATTGTTTTGGAAATCTCAAGGAAGCCTGAAAGTGAGTGAAAATGTTCAGAAATGAAGTGACGCACAGAAGAAGCCATCTCCATTTGGAAAAATGAAGTTTTTACATTCATAGTTTTAGATTCGTTGTGGAAGCAATAGGTTGTCATTCAGTGATAGAATCCCAACTTTCTATCTTTTCTTCCTCCCGTGGCCATTGGTAGCTTTGTTAGGGATTGACTGCAGGCTTACGGCAACAGAAAAAGGGGTGTTGAAAAGGGGGAAAATAAGAGCATGGTAGAGAAAAATCCAGTAACAGTAAATTTCTATATCATGCTATTAGTCAAGAATGGGCAGAAGGAAGGCGAGTCACTGTGACCTCTCTGAATTAGGCGATTCCTTGAAATAACTCAGCCACATACAGTGGATCCTTGCTGTGCAGAAAGTTCCTGATTCTTATCTGGATGCTGTGCTCTCCATATCTATGTACCATTTTAAAGTGAAAGAAAACGATTTCGAGGCATTTTTCTCTTACTGCTCTTTGAACAGCATTTGTGTAAGTACATTGTCATTTCCAGATCCAGATCCTGCCTAGCAGCCCAGCCTCCTGGAAGGCTTTCAGATATTCTCCGGGGAGGAGAGCTTTATCAAGTGTTTATTCTCTTCAAAAGATGCTGATTTCATTGTGTTTCTCCTGAGTTACGTGGTTACAAATCACTATCAAAATTCCATGCTGAGTGGCTTCCAAAGAGGTGACAGGTTGTGTTTGTGTGTGTGTGTGTGTGCGCGCGTGTGTGTGCGTGCGTGCTCGCGTGCGTTTAAGCTCCATCCGCCTCTGAAATGGACTCTCATCCTCTAGTTTTGCTGAGTGTTCTCTACAGGTGGCATTTCCCCCTCTCGTGATGCCGCCGTCCTGTGATGCTCCTCCAGCAGGCCGCGCGGGGATGCTGCATCCAAGCCGCCATGTCTAGTTCAGCTGTCTGGGAGATTGTGAGACGGTGTCATGGTCTGATGACCTCTTTTGCTGTTGTCCATCTTGCAGGGACGGGAGAGAGTGGCAAGAGTACGTTTATCAAGCAGATGAGAATCATCCACGGGTCGGGCTACTCTGATGAAGACAAAAGGGGCTTCACCAAGCTGGTGTATCAGAACATCTTCACGGCCATGCAGGCTATGATCAGAGCCATGGACACGCTCAAGATCCCCTACAAGTACGAGCATAATAAGGTAGGCGTGGCTCCTCCTGGGAACCGCAGGCAAAGCTGTCCACGGTGTGGATGCTGTCTGCACGTGGCTGGGTTGGACAGTGGGTTTTTGAAGCATGCATTTTTCGTCTCCTCCCAGGTGGGACGTTTTAATGGTTCAGTATGTTCTTTGTAGTTTTTTTTTTTTTTTTCCCTTAAATCTTTAAAGTCACATCTCTGCATGATTAGAGTTGTGTTCTTAGTGATATCGGTGGAAGACACGTTTGGATGTTCGACAATAAATATACGGAGGTTTAAAATTCCGGGGGTGCCCCATTATGTTAAGAAGACTGGTTGTAAACTCAGGCCAAATTGACCAAGGTGAGGGCATTCAGAGAAGAGACAATGGCCTTGCTTCAACCTCCCACTCTTGGTGCTTCCTTGAAGAAGAAGAAGAAGAAGAAGAAAAAAAAAAGAACAAAACAGCTTAAGAGCATTCTGTCCGGTTTAATTTTGGATTTCGTGACTTCCTTTCAGTAGTACCACAGGCTTAATTTTATTTCAAAATAGGTCCATCTGTCACTTCCAATAACCTTTCAAACATGTTTCCCTGCAGTTGTGTTACAGTCATGCAAACTTCTAAAATCACTTGAGAAGGGGTGAGGAGAAAAAAAAAAAATCTAAATCTTCTCAGGGCTTGTAGGTGTTGATCTTCTCCTAAGCTGGTAAAACCTCACCTTTTGTTGATGGAGCACTGCACCTACACTGGTTTGAGAGCCTTCCTTCAAGTCTTCCACTCGGTGCTCTTGATAATCTGTTCTTAAAAATGTTTCCGTATACCAGGTCAATATGTGGCAGTAAGAGGCTGGCATGCCCACTGTGACTCATAAACTGAGAGTTAACTCAAAGTGAATCATAGGTAAAATAAAGCAATGCTGTGTATCTTCACTTCTCTTACCATCTAGAAGCTTCTAAGTGTACAGATCATCTTAAAATCAGGCATTTTTTTTTTCTTGGATGTTTCCTTGAAGTCAACTGACTTACTTCTTATCGAATTGATACTCTGGCACTTAGTTTTCCGATGGTGACAAGGGAGTGTCTCCACAAAGAGCAGAGAGACCCTCCACAACGACTCTTTCCCGTTTCTACTCTTGAGAGTGAAAATGATCTGGGCAGGTTGATGAGCCTGGGAATGTGGTACCTCAACCAGATGAGGCTGCCTGGATAGCTAAACAGTCTAAATTTAGAAGGATCAGCGTTGTCCCGCCCTCCCTCTCCAAGAAATCTCAGGGTAATGAGTTTCTGAAATAGTGGCTTGCTTGTTTCATTGCAATTGTGAGAAGGAACTGTTTTTTAATGCCAGCAACTTTCCCCAATCTACAGTTATTTGATAATATCATGATGTCATGGATTCTGGCTGAGTTAACCACATGTGTGATAGGATAAACAGTTGACCCTTGAACAACGTGGGGATTAGGGGTGCCGACCCCCTGTGCAGGCAAGATCCACGTATAACTTTTGACTCCTCCAAGACTTAACTAATGGCCTACTGTTGACCAGAAGCCTTACCAATAACATAAAAGTTGATTAACACACATTTTGTGTGTTACACGTATTATACACTGTATTGTTACAAGAAAGCAAGCTAGAGAAAAGAAAATGTTATTAAGGAAATCGTAAGGAAGAGACAGTACATTTACAGTACTATACTGTATTTATCCAAAAAATCCACTTATCGGTGCACTTGCAGGGTTCAAACTGTGTTTTTCAAGGGTCAGCTGTGTGTGTGTGTGTGTGTGTGTGTGTGTGTGTGTGTGTGTGTGTGTAATTGGCAATATGTGTGTGTTATTTATATATATATATAACATATTGCCATTTTACACCTTATAATGTTATATATATAACATTGCCATTTTACACCTTATAATATGTTATATATATTATATAATATATTGCCATTTTACACCTTATAATATTATGCCATTTTACA